TGTAAGATTTTATATTATATATCAATTGGTCAGTTATATTACTAACATTGTATGTTCCAGGAACCCAGTATTTAATAATTTTGAGTGTTAGTAAAAATAATTATAATATTTAAGTTCTTAACATACAATCAATTTACTCAAATGTAAGTTTCTCAAAGAGGCTCTTTCTCACTACTCAATTCTTCGCTACCTCTGACCATTCTGAGCTCTTTTATTTGTCCTAAGTTCTGTGAAGCAGAAATTTAGCTTCATTCATTGCTATATCCCCAGCACATAGAATAGCGCTTGGCATTTCTTAGCATGTTAGGTGCTCAAAATAATGTATTTAGTATCTCTTAATAGGTTTTCTGTTTAGTTTGGTAATTCATTATCTCTCTGTCTTTTTCTTTCTCTCTCCAAATATTAACATAGAAATCTTAGGTTACAAACCACAAAAAAGGAAAAAAAAAAGACATCTATTTATTTATGTTCTGAAAACCGAAGTTTTTAAGCCCTTCTTATAAAATCAAAACTATACAAATTTACAAAATCCTACTAGACTCATAATTGATAAAAAACAAAATAATGAATCCTTAATGCTGAGCTATCAAGTCATAAAGTCAATTTTCATTTTCATCAATATTTTCATCAATGTTCTAAATCAGAATTTTATGACATACCACCTTTTTCCTTTAATATGTGGAGAATGGGCAAACAAGGTTTGGTTACAGGTTTCTGGAATTTTATTTATACATGTATATGAACCAAACAAGAATCCCAGAAAGGAAAGACTTTCAAGAAGGTAAATAATTCAGTAAAGGCCTTAATTACACTTAAAACACAGAAGTACCGTGAGATTTTTTGTGGTATCTCCCAGTTTACATCCCCCAAATAATTAAGGATTATATATAAATATAATATATATTAATGCATTAAATTTGTTAAGTTAATTATTATGACTATTTAAACATCCCTAAGGATGGAAATTACAGAACTTAACTCCAAATTGTCCTGATGTTTTCATCACAATTCCCTCCAAGAAAAACTATTTTTACTTACTCTCTTCTCTGTGAAAACATAAGATACATACTTAGATTTATTTCTCTAAACACACCTTTCAATATTTATAGATTGATATTAATGCCAAACACAACATTAACATTTTTGGCGAATTTTCTGAATTCAGTCAAAATAGTTTAAAGGTATACTGCAGAAAAATATGCTTAGATATTTGAATGAATTTGCTGTTTGAGTGGTTCAGACAATTTCTGTGTATGAACTAAAGTTTTCCACTGAAATAAATTAAGCTTTTTTAAAAAAACTAATTATTTGGAGATCCCATTTTTTACATCTTTGTATAATTTATATCACTCATCATGGGGATAGCTCAATGTGATCATATCTTTCTTAAGTGATAACTATCTAAATATTGAACTGTAACTGACTAATAACAAAATTAAAAAAATATTTTCAAGATCAAATGAGTGCTAACATATTTCTACATCTTTTAAATAACAGTTTGGATAAGTGATTCATTGTAAGTTTTTCAACATCAGTTGTTCACAGGCAGTCACACAACTGAGTCATTCAAGATGACTTGCAATGTACCTGATAAACCTCACATATTATGACTTTTTGAGGAATTTTGAAGAATATTTCTGTTTTCTTACTGATAACACACTGTGGTTTTATATAAAAGTAAAATACAAAATTATTTATTTCACTAATATTATTTCAGATACAAATTGTGAAATCTTAGAATTCAAGCAATAATAACCACAGTAAATAAGGCATTTTATATACTTTTTATGCTAAGCAATTTGAACTCTTTTTAAAAATTTTTAATTATAATGGGTACATAATAGTTGGATATCTTTATAGGGTACGTGTGATGTTTTGATACAGGCATACAATGTGAATTAATCAAATCAAGGTAATTGGGGTATCTATCACCTCAGGCACTTATCATTTTTGTGTTAGGAACATTTTAATTCCATTCTTTTGGTTTTTTTAAAGTACACCTTAACTTACTGTTGATTATAGTCATTTTGTTGTGCTATCACATATTGTTCATTCTGTCTAACTATCTAACTATATTTTTACAGCCACTAACAATTCCCACTTTATCCTCCCTCCCTGCAACTCTTCCTATCCTCTGATATCACCGTCATTCTATTCTCTGTCTCCATAAGATCAATTGTTTTTAATATTTAGTGGGATCCCACATATGAGTGAGAACATGCAAGATTTTTCATTGTGTGCTTGGCTTATTTCACTTAACATAATGTTCTCCAGTTCCATCTATGTTGTGGCAAATGGCAAGATTTTATTCTTCTTTTGGCTATATGATATTCCATTGTGAATGTGTACCATAATTTCTTTATTCATTTATCCACAGATAGACATTTAGGTTGATTCAAAATCTTGGCTATTGTGAATGGTGCTGCAATAAATATGGGAGTGCAGATATCCTTTAGATATACTGAATTCTCCTCCTTTGGATATATACCTAGCAGTGGCATTGCTGGGTCTTATGGTAGGTCGATATTTACCTTTTTGAGAGACCTCGACACTGTTCTCCACAGTGGTTGTACTAATTTGCATTCCCTTAAACAATGTGCAAGGTGAACCCTCTATTTTAAATGTTGAATTGTTCCACAATATACAACTTACTCAAGTACTTAATATGCCCAGTATTCGTAAAAGAAGAAACACTACTGTCCACAAATATTTTAAATGTCTGCTCAATTAAGAATGTGTTCCTTTTTCTTTATTTTTCAATCCATTATTCTGTGGTAAAGTAATTCTTACCTTGATAATCTTGGATCTGATATAAAAGTTAATTTATTTTGTGACAGTTAAAAGTCAAGATTTTTTTAAAAACTTGAAATAGTGTCTACCTAGTTTTCCTAAACATATACGTATCTTACATATCCATTTTATCAAACCATGACATAAAAAAACAAAATAATAATGCAAAATTATATAGCATTATAAAGTTGGCATCTAAAAGGCTCAAAAGTATTTTGAAGAATATGCCCATTGTACATCTTTTAAAATGCAAGTGTGTCTACATACTTACAAACAGGCACACATATGAACAGAACTCAATGTAAAATTATTTAATATTCAATGTTCAACCATTTTCTGGGGACCAAAAGTGCCCATATTATGTGGTTATTTGCGATTTTGTTGAAAGAAACATTTCAAAGGCATATAATGGAGTGAGAACAGTTATTGTTTAGCTTAGCTATCAAACAAACCAATTCACAAATACTAGCCCCAGCATCTTACAAAGGTTTTGGTCTTATTTGAAGTGATTCAGAAAGGAAAATAAATCAGAATTAGTAATTACAATGTTAATATAAGGATATATTAATGTAATGTGGCACATTATAGGTGGCAAACTTTATTTACATTATTATGATTTTATTATACAGACAAAAAATCATTATGTGCCTAGAAGAACAACTTCTATTTACATAGAAGTGTATACTGGAGTATATTTGCAAACCTGGACATTTTCTAAACTCTCAGGACATATCTTTTGTGAATGTATAAAGAGTTTGCTTTACTAGGACTATATACTAGAATGATAATGCTGCCACTAAATATTCTGATTTTTATTACACCCTTTTATAATATGTTCAACTATCTGGAGCATAGCTTACAGCTAATCACATAAAAGTTAAAATTTCAACATCATTTTCATGCAGTATTATTTCCAAGTGAATATTTCTTCCTTTGTTGATAACTGAACATTCTAATTATAAATAATAGCATAAATTTCTGGAAACCAAAATAAATAATTTTTAATAAGTCATAGAGTAATATAGGCAATTGGCCATTTTTATGCTGGAATAAGAAAGCATTTATTTACTTTTCAAACTAAGTGTATGGAGTTTTCTGTGCAGGTAACCACATATAGTCATGTGACATGAAACAACATTTTGTTCAACAATAGACTGCATATAATAATACAATGGTGGTTCCATAAGATTACAATAAATCGAAAAAACTCCTATTGCCTAGGAACCTTGATGATTCTGATACTGCATAGGCCTAGCCCAATGTGTATATTTTTGTGTCTTAGTTTTAAACAAAAAGGTTAAACAAGTAAAAAGTAAATTCAAAAACTGAAAACTGTTTATAGAATAAGGATATAAAGTAAGAAAATATTTTTGCACAGCTGTACAATATGCTTATGTTTTAAGCCAAGGATTAATATAAAAGAGTTAAAAAGTTAATAAAAATAAGTTCATAAAGTAAAAAAGTTATAGCAAGTTATAAAGTTAATTTATTATTGAAGAAAGAAAAATCTGTTTTTTTATAAATGTTGTGTAGCCTAAGTGTATAGTGTGTATAAAGTCTACTGTAATGTACAGCAATGTCCTAGGCTTTCATATTGACTTAGCACTTGCTCATTGACTCACCCAGAGAAACTTTCAGTCTTACAACTCCATTAATGGTAAGAAATACTTACCATTGTGTTAAAATTGTATTGACTATTCAGTACATTAACATGATTTACAGGTTTATAGCCTAGGAGAAAAAGGTTATGCCACATAGCCTAGGTGTGCAGTGGGCTATACCATCTAGGTTTGTGTAAGTACATATGTGATGTTCATATAATGACAAAATCGCCTAAAAATACATTTCTTAGAACATATCCCCATTTTTAAGTGACAAATAACTGTAATCCATTAAGAAGCATGTTTTGCTCTGTATTTGGCAAGATAAAGCAAAGCAAAAAAAAAAAAAAAAATCTCATGAAGAAGAACCTGTTAGGCCTATGGTATTTTGCAGTGTCTTTGCAAGTAACATATTTTGTTCTGCCAGAGAAGAAAATATTAATAGTTCATATTTCTCAGCATATGCACCCACAGTAGATTCCTGCTATATCATAGGTACTCAGAACTATGCAGTTCTAGTGTTACTATAATCTCGGTTAGTTGAAGTTTGGAGATATTGAAATATGGAGATTACTAACATACAAGATTATGTAACACGTATATACTCACCCTTCTAATCTTACATCCGGCAGGCTTCTGTTAAGGGCAATCAAATCGCTGGCCATAAGGTTAAACTGATTGATTTTAAACAGCTCTTTCATTTTTTCCTGGTCGTCTTTAGGAATCAGCACAGCCTTTCCCATTTCTCCTGGCCCTTCTTGGTTTCTTGAAATAACAGCTATAAGACATACACAGATACAGACATACATAGAAACACACAGATAATGAACTGAATAAATAAACTCATGCATTGGATTAGATTCTAAAATGTATTATTCATATACTAGCTTAATAATATAATCATCAAGACTTTAATGTTTATAAACCATACACTACACTAAAGAAACACCCAATTTAATTCATTAGCTCAATTCTGCATGCTTTTTCCAAATATAGTCATATTATATGATCTTATTAATCATTAAGATTTAATGACTAAATAATATAAAATATAAAATCTTAAACCTTCTTAGTCATATTTTCAATATACTTATTAGAGAGATATGAAGTTGATCCCTGGGCAGACCAAATTTTGCAAAATGAAAGAGAACTTTTAAAAAGATACCAAGATTAATTTATTTTCACATCTAATTAAATGTTTAGATATTAATATTTTACATATCTACTGCCATTATATCATTATAAATGTAAGCAAAGTTGATAATCCTTTCTCCTCATAGCAATTTGATTCCTTTGTTAAGGCATTTCAAATTGTGTCAGAAAAAGTTTCATAGTGGTGACACATAATTTCAAATGTCAAGCTGGATTTTGATACTATATGCTCCGTATCTGGAACTTCGCAACAATATTTTAGGCTTGGCTATTCATTAAAAGAACTCAGAATTTGATATACAGGCTAATGTTCTTGCTATTTCTCCCAAATTTTCACTACACTAAACTCCCTTCTAGCCCTAAAATACATGTTTTAATGTGTGTGTGTGTGTGTGTGTGTGTGTGAGTGTGAGTGTGTGTCCACACACAAATATCTGTATGCATGTTATTATATAATAATAAACCAAGGTTCCAGTTGATCTTGATGTACCTTTAACTTACTCTTCACAATGATATTAAATTAGGTTAAAATAAGAGGAATGTGTTTCCGTTCTTCACTCTGCCAATGCTTTGCTATATTGTAGTTCTTAACACATTAATCATACTGAATTTAATTTCCATGTAAAATAAAGACTAAATATTTAGATAGAAACTACATTGAAATACTGTAAAAATTTTAAGGACATAATGCATGTGAAAATAATATAACATTTCATAAAAATACAAATTCTAAAATACCATAAGAATGTGGTTAAAACTAGGATAGAGCACATTCAGCAAACTTTCCTCTGACTTGATCTCCATAGTTATAAACATCAGGTCTGGTATAATTTGTACTAATATACATTTGACTCTCAAGTTGACTATGCTCTTTGAAAGGTTATCCTGACTTTGAAATGGCATGAAGTCAAAGTATAAAAGAATAGGCATATCTAAGAACTTTTAGCTATGGGTACCAGGAAACTAATTAGCCTTGGAATCCTCTCATATATGGAAAAAATTTAATATTAAACATTTGAAAAATGTAATATGGAAAAAATATACATATTCAACTTCAAACTATTTTAAAAGTTGCCATCTAAAGAGAGTTTACAAAAGTTATCATTCAATAGAAATGATGGCAGAAATTTTATGAAAGAGCATATTTTGCTCATTTTAAGAAATAAAATTCTAATAGTAACAATTTAAGTTGGGAGTTAGTAAGCTTAACATCTCTAGAATCAGATGGAGTGGCTGGAGTTGGCTTTAGGTGAATTTGTGTTCTTGGTAAGACAATGTCATTAAGGTACCTTCCATTTCTAGCATTTAAAAAAAAGTTTCCACATAAAATGTTCCTTCAGGAGTACTGCTGATTCTGAGGAACATAGTAAGGCTACAATAACTCCTATTGACCATGAATATTCAGTTTAGACTTTTTATTACATATTCTGAACTGTAACTTTAATGGCATTTTAAGAAAGGATGATTTTTTTGTTAAAAAATTGACTTTATTGAGCCATTAAAGTATAGTTAGCAGAGCAATTTTCCTATTAACAGTTATTTACAATTCCCTTGTAAGGTAGGAAAACCTACTTTTACCTTCTTAAGTTCTGTGAGTAGCTTAAGAATTAAAATGACATAAGAGAGATTAACAGTAGAAAATCACACAAATTGATTTTTAAGTGTGCATAGGAGTTTTCACAAGGAGATTGAAGACCCAAAGAAGATATTTGGCCCCAAAGCTTATATACTTTTTTTACACAAAGCATGATAAATTATGGGGATATGATAACATAAAGGGGCATGGGCTAGGGAAAGTAAATTGTGGGACAGTGAGTAGGAAATATATTGGGAAAACTACTGGGAGATAGGGGTTGTTTTAGTAAGTTTGTTTGCACAGGTTCATTCCAGCATTGACTCGCAATTTCTGGTGATAAAAATGTTTTTCTCTTCCTGACACAGTGGAGGAGGGAAACTTGCTCATGGGAAATTTTATGACCTTCTTTAGAAAGAGGGAGGTCAGAAAAAGCTTCTTCGTTTGCTCTTTCTTAAGTGACTGCAGTCAAAATAATCGATAAGCCGATATGGCAATATTTTGGAGTAGCATGTTCTGAACCTCTTCACCCTCTATAAACTCTAACAAAAAAGACATTCTGTTACAGAGAAAGGCACCATGGTCAATATAATGTTTCCAAGACTAGGAGGCATACAAGATTAAAATTTTACTCTGTGGGAAAGACATGAGCTCAACTATAACATCTTCAGGCATGAAGATCAAGTTCAAGTACCCAGAAGTATTTGGCATTTGCAATATATTCAAAGGTGTGACAATTTTCTTTCTCAGGATTATGTAAATTATAGTTTTGTCAGTAGTAGTAGGAATAAATGTATTGTGTAATAGTATTATGGCCAATAAAATTAAAATGATCATAAATAGTATCCTTATACCTAGAACTAGTTGCAAGCACATGTAGTCATTGCCCTAATCATTCTCAGTTTCATAGTAGAGAATAAATAACAGCTTAATGCCTATCAGGTTAATTGTTCCCTCTAAATTTTTCTATGATATCTTCTAATAAATGTATATTTGACATTTTAAAAATGTTTTTTCTTCCCCCTGTGTGTGAGCAGACCTGTTGGTGTTTTTCATTATGCTCAAGCAAAAAGAATGCTAAGTAATTATAGTGTGAAACTAGCCTTTTTCTTTTTCTAGCTTTTATCTGGTGGAAGGCATCCTACTAGGAAAAAAAAATTTTATTCTTTCAAACACCAAAAATAAGAAATGGGAAAGAATAAGTTATTGGGTTATGTGGTTTATCTCTGATCTGTAGTACCTTTAAATAGCAGATCCTATTTTTTTCTCACCTGTTGATTTCTTTCCTCTACATAGTTTAGGGAAAAAAAAAAGACTACTCACACACCCATAAAATACCATGTTTCTCACAGCCAAACAACAAAAGAAATCAGAAAGAATTGCTACTAAAATAGTTGTGCTACTTATCTACTTTAACAGGCCAATGTAATGCACAAGGTCCACATTATGGTCTATTATTGATTTGAATATGAATGGAAATGTCCCAATTCCAAAGATAGTTTAGACTGCAAAAAGAGATTAATGTATTATGCTATAAGCTATTTTCTTCCTAATTATACGATGAAATCATTAAAAAGATAATTAATTTGATTCAAAATGTCATTATACATCTTGTAGAAATATGATAAAAGCAGAATATATTTCATTTTCTTTAAAATAGTGTCTACTTAAAAGATTTAAAGAATATTTATTTTAATCTTAGAATTCTCATTGATCAAGAGGATGATTACCAAATTATAAAAAAAAAATCTACCAAAAAATAGTGCATATTAAATGCACTATTTGCTTATGCACGTTGCATTTTGAGTATTTTCTTATTTGCAGAATTACCCCTATAACAATGAGCCCTATCTATTTGAAAAAAAGAGAAATGGGCCAGTCTATATCTAGGAAAAAGCTTGTAGTGAATAAAGAATTCAAGTTGATATTAAAGTAATGATTTTATTCTGCAAAAGAACATAGCAATATATGATGCCTATTGGTAAAAGTGTAGCATTGAAGCAAAAATCTAAATATTATCCCATGGAACGTGCTTTTCAAATTATATTCCCATCTTTAGGTCTATTCAACTATTAATTCTGTTTATTTGTCTTTAAATTTTCTTTTCATTGACGCTGTAGCTTTTCTCTCACTTCTGTCACTTCCAATTTGACTACTGTAATAAATTAGAAACCTTGGCTTTTAGTTTCTCTCATCTTTGAATATTCATACCCTGTTACCAATAAACCAATTTCCCTAAAGTAGTGCTTTTTTTTATTTTGTCAATCATAAATCTTTGCAGTGGCATCAAAAGATGAGGAAATCATCCCAGCTCTTGCACCACCCCTCTACCATCAAAGCCCTTTTACCTTCTACTCAGCATTCTCTGGGCTATGCTCTTTTGCCAGTGCAAAGGCCCTGAGTTTTTCAAGGGTAATTTATTTTATTTTATTGTTTTATTTTAGATCTCACCATGTTGCCCAAGCTGAAGTGCAGTGGTCATTCACAGGTACAAACATAGTGCACTAGAACCTCTAACTTCTAGCTTTAAGCAATCCTCCAACCTCAGCCCAGAGTAGGTGGGAGTACAATGTGTACCACCATACCTAGATCAAGATTAATTCTTGATAAAATAAGGAAACTCACTATACACTTGCTTTCTCCCATTTCTCTTAGAAACAATAATGTGCTTTAAATGCCAATGTTACACTTAACCTATACATTAAATAACCAATTTCATGCCATTTAAAGTATGAACAAATAGCAATTTATCTAATATCCCTTTGAAAAGGAATTATGTACAAGTTTTATAAATCTGAAATATCTGACGATAAGTTTTTTTCTTTTTTCATTTTTTATCATGGCCATATGTGGTGTCCTGATTTTTGTCCATTACATTTAAATGACTGGATTTTTGTGCAGTTTTTAGATTTTTATGCAGAAAGTTGTAAATAGCAAGCCCTGACTGGATTAAGTCCAGCAGACATTAGCTCCTGTTTCTTGGGAGAGTGTCATCTATTAGATAATCAATAAGGTGGCATTTTCCATCAGCTAGCTATGTGAGAGAGAGATTA